GCACCGATTTTTGTACCAAACAAATTGAATTGAAAATAATTTTAATAAAAAATTAAAATAAATTGTTAATGTTTATGCAATTGTCTTTTTTCTAAAAAAAATGATATGAACTTACCAAAATCTCCGTAAAACATGGTAAAAAAAAACATAAGAATCCAAAAAATCGATGCATTTAAATTTTAAAAAGTTGTACACAATTTTTCCTAATTAATTGGATAAGGTGACATTAAATATCAATGATGAACCGCTTTTGTTACCAACAATTGTGGACACAATTTCGAATGTACATCCCGTCCAAATATCAATTTTATTTTAAAATAAAATTGCACGTGGCTTTATCCAATTTACACAATTTTTTTGAAAGAAAAAAGTATTCAATAAGATTGAAAGAATTGATTAAGAATTATACAACTATTTGCTTCCTAAATTTGTATCCAATTTGCACGGTTTTTAAATTAATTTGTATTTAGAATTGTTTTCATAAATAATTGACATATTTTTTGCATAAGAATCTCTAAATTTGTTACCAAAAAAGATGATTTAAATTTTGGTTAAAACAATAAAATATGATACGAAAAAAATGGGATTCAAATTTTGCCATAAGAATCTCCAAATTTGTTACCAAAAAATAGGATTTAGATTTTGTTACTTAAGATTCACATGTTTTTTTTTTAACTTTTCATTTATAGTAAGTCAAATATTATTTTTATTTGGTCAAACTTTCTATTAATGTATTTTTCCAACAACCTCTTTATATATATATAGATATAGATTATTATTATTATTGTTATCATCATGTAAAGGACATGCTCTTGAAATAACAGAGTAGGTTGAAATTTACTGAGCTTCGTGCATAAAAAAACAAACGGTCCAATTGGTGATTTTCAAGACTTTCGAAACAAAAATATAAAAAAATATAGTAATATTTCTAAGAATTTGTTTATTTATTTCTTAGGGTTAATGTTCCAGCTGCCAATAGACCTACCATAGCACAAATAAAATGTAGAGATAAATATGAAAATGTCAGTGATGGTTGTAAGTTGTAACAGTCATATTTATTGAGGATGTGATGGGAAAGTTGCATCATAATTCATAACTGGCCAACCATAAATTAACAATGGGTATGAGACGACGACGTACGTATGGCCAGTTGGCCACAATATTTATTTTACACAATCCAATTTTTGACGATTTTCCCATTCACTACTAATAAATATACGTACATGCTCAAGTTATGTAGTAGATGATCTGCAACTATTAAATTGTTTCTGAATCCATTTTTAGTATTAGTTTGCAAAGGAAATCTACTAAAAGGGGTACGATTGATAAAGTTAACTAGGAGTGGAAAAAATGGATTGGTTAGAAATGAATTAAGCAAAGGGAACTCTTCAATATGCAAATGCTTGGATTAAGCAAAACAAGCCCATGGAAACTCCAAGTTGTTGGCTTTTAAAGTTTTTGTCTAATTATGTGGAATCTATTCTTCACTCAGTGTAAGATTTTACTAATAATAATAGTTGAAAATAATCATCCGATGGCTCCATAAAATTTTTTAGAAAACATATTAGCGCATGAGAAAACATATTAGCGCATTTTTATTGGTTGTCAGATATTCTAGACCTTGTATTTTATTTTTGCACTGGATAGCTTTTGAATTTTTTTACTTAGGAAACAGATCGAGAACGGTTCTACGCATTGAACCGAAAATTGTCGAACGAATAAACTAATAAACGAATAAATTCTAAACTAAACCATACACGACAATAAATATACAAGCATCCATATCATAACACAAGAATAATCGAAGGCAAGCAAATAATATCATGAAGTAAAGGCAATAATAATATAAAAGCAAGTAAATAAATAAATAAAACACGGGATATTATATAAAACGAAAGGGACGCTACATTACCAACGGATATAAAATAGCTAGAGATTACCTACAAGCTATTACTACCAATTACCTGCAAATTTAAATTTTTAGAAGTAGGAATTCTATAGGTAAATAGTAAATATTATTTTTGTATTTACACATATTTCAATTTTAAAACACCTACTAAAACAAAACACAAATTAACAAAAATAAACATCTTAAAAAAACAACCCTAAATAAAATAAAATGTGAATTCAAAACTCTCACAAGCATACCCAAAATAACAAAAATAAACACCTTCTTAAAAAACCAACCGTAAATAAAATGTGAATTCAAAAGTCTCACAAGCATACCCAAAATAAATTGTCTCATGAACCAACATAACAGAATCAAACAAGTACAAATCCATAATAAAAAACATAACACTTCACATCTAAAATATCAAATACAAGTACCAAACCAACTACCGAATCATCTAATTGTCATTAAGCTTGATCTCACCACCACTCTGAGATGTGCTCAAGCGGGACATCATCATCTCAAATCGTTCTTCAAAAGTCTGAAATCTTTGTTGCAACTCATCCAACTTCAAATAATTAAAAATCAATAAATATAACTTTAGACAAATATCTGCCAACAAAACTGAAGTAAAGAACAGTAAAGTTACCTGTGATATTATGCTACAACTCCCAATACCGCGTCGCTTCTTACAAATTCCTCCAACGTTTGTGATGTCATGTTCGTCGATTCTTTTAATGCTTTCTGCTTCATCTAAGTTGGAGTCGGCGGTGAATGACGGATCATTTGAATTAAGAGACTCCAACTCCAACGGATCATTGTAACAATCGATTTTCTCCACCGGCAAACCCATGCCTCGCAATAACTTCTTAGTGCTATAGAAGTTATCAGGTGCTGTATTATTATCAGGAAGGACCTCAGCAAAGAGTTTCATCATGTCATCATAGTTTCTTTCGGACATATGATGCTCTGCCTTCATAAGCATCGCTCTCAAGACAAACGATAATTGTGAATGTTTTGAACAACCAGGCCATAGCTCTTTATCAGCTGCATTAAGCATGTCGTAAAATCTTTTGGACCTAAAATCGGGATTCGGAGATTCTTCTACATCTGACGGACCTAACATCGGTTCGAAATCACGACCAGCAGCATCCCTTACCATTGTGTGGTAATCCACCTTCGGTTGGGCACGTTCTCTGCAATGCATATTTGAGTTGTCCACTTCGACATGTATCTCACCATGTCTGTCCCAAATGTAATAATCGGGTACAAAGCCATATCTTGCAAGGTGATATTTGACTTCGTCGGGTTGAAGAAAATTGCGGTTCTGACACTTTCGATGTTTACACGGACATCTAATTTTATCCTCACCCATCCATTCGACTTGATTACAAGCAAAGTCCACAAATGTTTCCAAACCTTCTACGAATTAGTCGGTTAGATAACCATTTTTCATCCTATTGTACATCCATCTACGATCTCCACTCATTTTTTAAACACACAAGAGATGCTGAAAAATGAAAACATGGTATAGTTTAGAGACATTAGAGATGAAAATAAATAATTTGATATTAACTTAGAAAAATTAAAACCAGTAAGTAAATATAATTCATCTTCAAATATAATGCAATTTCAAATGTTATCTTCCAAAAAGATAAATATTCAGATTTCATATGTTCCGCTCCAAAGGAAAAATCACAAACTCAATAACTCATACCCGCATACGCTTAACACACACACACACACACACACATTCTGCCTTCCTCTGAAGGTAACATTGGTACAACACCTTACCTAATGACGCATCTCAAATACCTGTCCCAAACATGAAATGTAAACCCAGCGAAGTGATTTGACTAGTTAAGATTCAACATAGAAGTAATAGACAAACAGACTACACCGAAGGAGATAGAAAGACGGACCCGGTGATGTTAAACTAAACCTTTCACCTAAGAATCCGGCGAGAATTAGGAGACGGGTCCGGTCATGAGAGGGCCGACGACATTGATGCAAGTTTGGTTCCTAATCTTCTCGAGCCGGAGAGAATCAACAGGTCCGGCGAGGATCGATGGGGACGGCGTCGTGAGTTTGGAGAGATTTTCGGAGTTGGGGCTCTTTTTCGTCGATTGAAAGTGAATAGGAGTTTTCGAAAAAAAAAAAAAGAAAAAAGGGAACTGAAGTCAGAAGTGAAGTGGAGGCCGTCAGATCCTTTGTTATGTATTTCGTTCATCTTAATAAAAAAGTACATAATCTCTTCGTTTGAAGAGGTCTCGAGTTCGACCCACCTTAACCTGCATACTTTTTTAGTACCTGTTGGGAATCTCTTGTTATATGGCTAGAAAAAATCTGTAGGTATAATACCTACAACAATTTTTGTAGGTAAACTTTGATTTTTTTTTATTTAAATTAAAATCTGTTGGGAATCTCTAGATAAATTCCTAGAAAAAGTTTGTGAGTTCATAAGAGGAGGTTATATACGGTGTTATTTCGTCTGCGTATTTTATGTGACTCGACTTTATTCGCTTTATCGTTTTCCTTTTGATTTTTAAGTCATTTTCTTGAGATTCACATACACAATTCCTACAATATTAATTCGAAATTTGTGAGTTCATAAGATGACAATCGAAAGAAACCAAACGTCTTCTTCAAGTGCTCAACGAACCTTACACTGGCTACTAACCTTTTCACCCCAATGGTAGCTGCTCCTGTCCAAGGCGACATACCGCCGAAGTTCAACTTTAATTTCAAGATGTGACAGCAAAAAATACTTTTCTACCCAATCAGGGGAATTCCCATTTCAGGTAACGACCTTAATAATTATTAGTTATATATAATATGACTAAACTTGAATCCTGATATATATGCAAATAAATAGTGTAGATTTAATAACCTTGCTAATAAAAGTATATGAGGTGTAAATATAGAATAAAAAGAATATTTAGTAATTGACTAAGTAATTTTTCTTTAATGTTTATATATGTGGATACATGTCATTTCTCCTAAGTCCAAACCACTCTTAATCCTATATAGATCAATTATCAGCCCAGACCAGATAAAGCCCATAACACAGGCCCATTAACAAGAAATTTCTCCCCGTCGAAAAATAATTCTAATGTCTAGGGCTCAGTCATCTGTATCAACATTCAGCAAAATCACAGCGAAGTAAAGGAAGGAAACATGGAGGGTGGAGACGATGGAGTAGAGCGAGTGGTGGACTCGAAAGACCTGCAGCAGCAGAGCAAAGCCCTCGACAAGCTCACCGACCGGGTCGAGGATCGCCAACTCGACTCGACCCGAGTCCAGGAGGTGAGTTGACTCGGTTCTCCACATCTTTTGTATTCATAGGGTTAACTGGGCATTGATTGGTGGATTGTGTATAAAGCCCTGTTTTGTGTATCTTGTTTGCTTCAGGCTATGGCTTCGATTGCTGCATCAAAAGAAGCTGATATTCAAGCTGCCAGATTGAGGTTCATTTTTACCTTTTCTTTTCTCTTTTGGTGGTTCTTTTTCGTGTTTGTGTGAAGTTAATTGTAAATGGTGGGATTTTCATGGATGCTGAAGTTTTTTTACTTAGTTTTGGTGATTTGGGAGTAAATTCCTAGGAGATATATGTGTGAAGAATTGGATGATTTTGTCCGTCTACCACATTTTTGCTTGGTGTCAGTTGAAGAAATCTTGGAATGTTTAATATGAATTTTTATGTCTATAGGCTGTATGAAAAAGGTTGGGAAGTCCCTTATAGGTATCAAATGAAGTTCTACATTATATTTTTCTTGTGATCTGCCAGATATAGTAGTTATCATGGAATTGAAATGCCCTAAAATATTTAGAGAAATCATTTCTAGTGTTTCATTTTTTCATCTAGGTGAACCTAATCTATATTCTGTTCATATCTGCATGGCGGTTTCTATTTGGCGTTTAGGTTGAAGTGGTGCTTCTAGGCTTTTTGGTGACTTGGCAGTGGCAGATTACTTACATACTAATTTAGTTCGACATTTAATGAAATCATGGGTCATTTCGGGATGATTTGATACTTGAAAGTGTTTTTTAAGAAGTTGCAACTGGATGTTTTTTGTTGACGCTGAATTACCACAACCTTTTATGAATAGAGCATGGATATGAGTTGAGTGAGCCTGTGGTGATTATGCTGCATGTGAACAGAATAGAATTTCTTGTATCTTTTGTTTTGAAAGAATTTGTGATAAATCAGTTGAGGTGGAGAAATATGGTGTTTGCTAAACCACAAAATTTGTGCTTGGTGTTCTTTTTTTATCACAGGGAGAAAGAATTGGCAGCTGTCAAAATTAATGCCGCAGATATTGATGTCATTGCAAATGAATTAGAGGTATCATTTCTCAACTCTTCATTTTTTTTTTATTATTTTTTTGGTTTTTCGTTTTCCTTTCTCCTGTTGCTCTGTTTCTCGCTCCCCTTTTTTGTTTACGCTGGTGCCTTAATTATTTCGAGAGCAGCTGGACAAGAAAGTTGCAGAAAGGACATTGCGTGAGCACAAAGGAGATGCGGTTGCAGCTATTAGATCCTTGCTTTACTAACAAACTCTTCATGAAGAAATCTACAGTTTTTATTTGCTTGAAAGTTTGTATGGTCATAGATTGTGGTGACAACACATTTTTGCTTAAAAGCTGAATTGTTGAATAGCCTTTCTGACTGTATTGCTTGTTATAGCATGCTACTTCTGCAAAAAAAATTATTGTTTACCTTAACAAGTCTTGGCTATCATTCTTTTTCATTGCTGTTTCTTTTTTCCTTCACATTTTTATTTCGTGTTGGTTATATATATACCCGGTAAATAGTACATGGCAATTGGCAAGTGGTTTGTAATTGTGAAAGGTGGTGCTATTGTATAATAGAGAAATGGGTTTTTTAGGTCATTTTTTCGTCATCTCACGTTTATTCCCCTTACATTTTTCTCAATACTATTTTTAAGATTTTTTAATAATAAATCACTAGTACTCATTTTTTTATGTATAATTCTCAATTATATTTGAATACTATTAGTTAGTATTTTACTATTTTCATATCATATTACAATTAATTATACTTTTTTATATCACACCCTTTCATAATATTAAAACTATCTTCTTTCTTCTATGAAACAAAAGAATAAAATAGACACACTCAAACTCAAATCCGCTTATTATTAATAAACCATTATGGTGAATATTCAAAATATCGGTAGACGCTCGCTAGGTGGATTTGGGCTTGGTAGACGCCTAATATAAATGTGCATATCGTCTTGCGTTATAGTTCTATTCTCTTCTTATTTATTTATTTTGTTTTCTATGATCATTCGTTATTCATATCTCAGAGTTGGCTTTGCATTATATCACTTCATGATTTTATGTGTGGTCGTATTGCCCAATTTCAAACTTTCACCATTGTATAGAACAGTATCAATGTACATTTCAAAGCCAAAATCAATTAGACCATCGTTTTCTTATAATTGGTAATTTGTTGTAGCACACCTAAAAACGGGCCTGTAAGCACAAAAGGCCCCACAATCTCGCTAGACTCCACACCAACTCATAGCTTCACATCTTAAGTTCAGGAAG